TCCCAGGAAAATGATGAAAAGGAGTAAGGAAAACTGGGGTATGGGGAAAAAGGAAAAAGGGGAAATAGACCGAGAACGAGAACGAGACACGAGCTCACTTCCTGCTCATTATGACCTCAGCTAACGCTTTAAATGCTCTAATTAGGTTTCGGTATCCTGTCATAATTGGCAGCAATTCTGATTTGATAATCCGCCATTCAGATACATACATATACATAAATATATATAGAGTGTCCTGTCAATTTAATGCTCCAAGTCCGAGTTCAAGTGGAAGCCGTAATCAAACTAATTAAAGGCGTTCTCACAACACCCCCTTCGATATATATATATATTTTATATACTTTCCCATTCAACCCCGCACTTTTAAGCGGGTAATTATTGTGCCTGTTTATGACGTCAAAGCCAAATGCCAGTTGCCAGTTGCCTGGCCCTGTCAGCGTGTTTCTTATGCGCCAAAAATTGATTAATGCGCAATTATTTGCAGGCGCTCTAAATAAATTTTCCAATTACAATTAGCGAGGAGCGAGAAGCAGCGGCAAAATGGAATGGGGAGGAGGAATGGGGTCAGCCAAGAATGGTTTTTGGTTTTTCAGCCCAACTTTTTGGCCAACTAAGCAGGTGATGATGATGAATGAATTAAGGCCACCTGTAGCTATGATAGCAGGGCCCTTCGTTGTCAGCAATGATTATGATTGAAGACTTTTACTATTTCTTGTCTTATTTTAAATAATGTTTACTCTAGCACAAATATTATAAAATTAGGAGAATTTTAAAGAGATCTTAATGAATACATATTTTTAAACAAAATCAAAATCTCTTTTTTATATAATTCAAAAATATATGTAGCTATCATAAATGAAGTTATAAATAAATAGACTTATTCTTAGTAAACCTTTAAAATATTTTCTTATGTATATATTTATTTTTTATAAAACTTAACTTTGGAAAAATATTCAAAATAGTTATTAAGCCTTAATAATATCATTTAAAAATGTAATAAAAATATTTTCAGCATCCCTAACCAAGGCAATCTCAAGTATTGTAGACCTTAAAGAAAAACCTTAAGGAAAACTTCCCTTTGGAAAGGGTAGAAATCGAACCACTTAACCATGGAAAATTGAAATAAATGTGCTTTTAATTATGCCTCCAGTGACAGGCCACATCTACGTCAATCAATTAGAGGCTGTCAGGCTCTCGGTTCCAGGTTTGCCGAAATCTAAAAAATATATATAATAGTATAATATATATAGCTTAAATCTAGCTCTGAACGGGAAGAGAGAAAATATAAAAAAGGAGCGAGAGAAGAAAGACAGTTTAAACGCAACGAAATGAAATAAAATCAAAAAGTTTTCTTGTTGAAAATGGCCGCATAACGGAAAGTAAATTTACCCAGCAAACGAAACGAAATTGTTGCAAAAATATTTGAGCTGCATAAGCTCAAGCGACCCCCTCAAAAAAACGGGAAGAAAGAAAAAATGGGAGGCAGCAGCTGTCACACCCAGCTCTGAGTGTATTGGTGTGTGTGTGCATTTGATTTTATGACTGTCAACTGACGGCGAATGTTTGTCATGGAAACGGCGATGGCGATGGTGATGGCAATGGCGGAGGCAAAGGAAAAGCTCTGGTATAAACGAAGAAAAAAAAAACTGGCTACGTATTTGGCTTCCTGCCATTTCGATATATCAAAGCATCATAAATGCTGCCATAGTTCCACAGCAAACAACAATGCCTGGCCCCTCGCTCACGTACGTGAATAACTCCCATTTGGCTCCGCACGCCGGCGGCCCACGTTGCGTATGACGAATGAGTTTCATTTCCACATATCCACCATTCCGCATCCGCATCCACATCCACAGGACACCATCTAGCACATCCACTTGTCAGCGGCGTGGGCCGGATTATCTGCTGGGAATTTTCAAGTGCCTCCAGAGTGGTCCTAGGGTCGAAGTGGGGGTCGAGTTTGGGGTCGGGGTCGAGGTCTTTCGGGGTTCCCTTGGGTGGCAAGTCCTCATGGCCCCCATGACAGTCTCCCCTGCAATTACAGGACACGACGATGATGATGATCCAGTGGCATATGGGCCTAAGGAGGCAGCACTTTTCTAATTTCGATTAGCCGCCAGAAGCACAAAGGAAAGCAACAAAGGTTGGTGGAAAACTGAAGACACACCTTTGATTTCAGGTTTTAGTTTTGACTGGAATTCTAATTTGTTTAATTTCAAATTGTAGTCTCGCGAGGAAATAAATAAAATAAATGTAATAAAATTAATAAATATAAGTATAATAATGCCTTTGTAGAACGATTATTTTATCAAGATAGTAAGTATTTTATAAGATTCAAGTCTGAGTTCCCCTAACTTCCAGAAAAGTTTCATAAATCTTTAACTTTGTATCTCAATTAAATATATAATTGACTACTAAATATTCCTAAGCAATTATCATCTCTTTTATGAATTTTAAAATAATAATTATTTATGCATAATCATTTTATATGTCATAAATAGTATTAATAACAATAAAAACAATATATATACACTTTAAATATTTAAATTTTAAATTTAAACCAGAAATAAAGCCATGAAAACAATAAAAATGGCGTTATTTCTTGTTTAAATTTAAAATTAAAATATTTTAGATGTATATATCTTTGTATTTGTTTTAAAATTTAATATTCTTATTAATTAGTTCTCTCATTATTTCTGCCAGTGTTTTTTGCAGAACAATTGCCGCGCCTCAAATGTTATTGCATTGAAATTCGCCAGTCGAATTATTTGGCTTGCCACACACCCACCGAACCCTCAGCGACACTTGATTGGAGGGGCTGTTGGCTCTTGGAGGTTCGAGATTACAGGAGGGTTTGCTACATGTGTGTGTTGGGTGTTGGGTGTTGGGTGTGTGTGTGCGCAGGGGGCAATTAATTTACACTAACCACTTGGCAATTAAAATGAAAAGTAAATTATATAGCCAAGGATCGGAGTGGAGGAGGCACTATCCTAGCACAAATCCAGGACCATTGCACAACCTGACACACTTTTGTCCAACTATCCCTCTCTCTCTCTCTCTCTCTCTTCTTCTGTGGGTGTGTGTTGGGTGGGCGGAGTGTGTGCCAGTGTGGGTTGTTTTTAAAAGCATTTGCTGCAAATGTATCTCGAACTTCGCACACTTGACTGCCATTCAATTTGCATAGGAAATTAGTTTGTTCGCTTTGAATTGAAGTTGGTCCCACGGGGCCAAACAAGGCCAAAAGTACTGAGGGTTAGCGGTGGCCCTACGGGGGGAGCGGGGGGGTGGTACAGATAGCCCACACACACACTCGCATGTAACCCGGCCAAGTGTGTGTGTGCTGCGCCAGCTGTGTGTGTTTGTGCGCACATTTATGCGTTTTGTTGCTGGCTTTTTGAATGTGAGAGCAGCTAGTATCCACCTTGTACTTACACTGTAAGAAAAGGGAACTAGGTGAATGCACTTTTATATTAATATTAATATAAGAAAAAATTTATATATTTTTTAACATAAATTTAATTTTTCTCTATTTTTCCATTGATTTATTTATTTCGAATTTATTTCCTAGTTATTATTTTTGTTTTATTTTTTTTGCAGTATTTTTTATTCTTCTGAATTTCTTCAAGTGTAAAAGACAGCAGCTGCCACGTTACATCTAAGTGTGTGTTGTGGCCTGTGTGCATGTGTGTAGATTTTTGCATGTTGTGCGTTGCACTCCGGATCTTTTTGTTACTTAAGCAGACAACGAATGCGGCGGCGGCGGCGGGAAAAGGGTTGCCCATGACAAGCAGCAGGAGCAGCAGCAGGAGCAGCAGTAGGAGCAGGAGCAAGGACGGGGACAAGGAAGGATGCCATGTAAGCACCTGCCTCTGGGACAGGACAAGTTGTTCAAGCCTCTCTGGGGGCCTAACGATGAACACATGTACTCGCATTTTGGTCACATAAGCCCGGCAAATGTACAGTCTCGGCAGCGATAATTAATCGATTAACACAGTTGCCGATGGCAATAGCCGATAGACATTAAAATCAAAGGAAATCCTTTGATTTCAGTGGGGTAATTAAAACATTTTCAGGCATAGCTTCGAGTTACCCAATATTTCGGACCCTCTGATAATTGCTTTGCTTTTCCCACAAACACTGACGATGCTGCTAGACTTCTGGCCCTAATCGAATTACCCAGCCAAAGTCCTGTTTGGTCCTGCTGTGTAATTAATACAAAATTGCAATGCAGAATATGCCTTGGATGAATTCATTAAGTAAATTAATTTCTTTGACATGAACTCTTTGACGGCCGTTATTTTGGCCAAATTAATGTGATAAATTTCCAGCACTCCCAGGATATATATACATACATATATCCTATATATACATATATAATATGTATGTTTAAAGACACGCACATGGTATGTGATTAAGCTTGGCTTCAAATAGTATACCACAAGCCTCAGCTCGTCAACGATTTTCCCAGCTTGCGCCGCCGGCATTACGATGAGTATTATTGCCTCGAGGGCGTTGACAGCCCTTCAAGCCGCAGGGGGCGTGGCATTTTCCGCCCAACAAGACAGCCATGAAAATGGCTTAAATGGAAATTGCTGTACCACTCTCAATAGAAATGGCAGAGAGATAGAGAGAGAGAGAGAGAGAGAGAGAGAGAGAGAGAGACAAAGTGACAGCGGCAAACAGGTGCAGGTGGCCTGGGAATCGGTTTTTGGCATGTAATCCCCTTGTTGGGGTTAAGCGACAATCTCTGCGGGACTCCAATTCCCCTCCTCCTCACCCGCCCCACAGTATTCGGTAAACCCCCGACAACATGCATGTGTAGACGTTAATCGAAAACACCTCAGGATCAGCGAAATGGCTTTTTGGAGATATATATTCATTAAATGCAATATTTGGTAGAAACAAAGCCTGAGCTTCAGTTGATGTACCTATTGGGGTATAGTTCTTGGTGTAGTTGTTATACTACTATTGGTGCAACTGATAAGATAATTTGAAGAGTACTATCCGGGCTAAGAAGATCGAAATATAATAATAATTAACATAACTTGCAACTAAATTTAAGGAAATTTGTAAATTAAAAAAAAACATCGCCAACATGGTCCTTGTCCTTGTCCCTGCCCGACTTATCCCGGCGATCTCCCTTAACTACCTTCTCGGAACGTGTGGTTGGTGATGGCGCCAACTTGAGCACCAGGCGGCTGTAGATTTGCACCGCCAAGATGTCGAAGGCATCCTTCACATTGGCACCACTCTTGGCCGATGCCTCGATAAAGGAAAGGCCATAATGCTCTGCGTAGCGAACTCCCTTCTCCAGGGTCACCTGGCGCTCCTCCAGCTCATCGCATTTGCTGCCCACCAGCATGACGTTGATCTTCTTGCAGCAGAACTCGCCCAGTTCCTTCAGCCAGTAACTAACGTGGCGGAAACTGAGGAGCGACGTGGTGTCGTAGACAATTATGATGCCGTGCGAGTTCCGATAGTAATTCTGTAGCAACGGCCGGAACCGCTCCTCGCCGGCGGCATCCCAAATTTGTAGGAGGACCTTCTTCCCAGCCACCTCCACATGGCAATACTTGAACTCAATGCCCGCGGTGGGGTAGTAGATGAGGGTGAAGCGGTCGTCCACGAAGCGCCAAAAGAGACAGCTCTTGCCCACACCCAGGTCCCCAACGATCAGGATCTTGAACACGTAGTCACACATTTTTCGTTGGAATTTTAAGGGAAAGATTTCTCAACTAGAAACAGATGATCACTTGGACTGGGAAACTAGTGACATGGCCTGCTTTTTGATTGTTTTTTTATAAAAAATAATATATAAAAAGTTTAATCATTTTATATACATAAATATCCCTCTCTTTCTACAGTTTTTTCTAAGGAGTTTCTTAGCTATTTCAAGACTTCCATATACATTTTCTTGATGCACCCAATTGTTTTAATTTTCAGCCAAGAAATTAAGATGCATTCAGCTTACTCAGGCAGGAAACAAATGGCTTTACATCCTTGTTGTTGTATAATTTGTTGCATTATTTTTTGGTCGATTTCTTGGCGTTGTTATATAGTACTTTATGTTGGAGTTGTGCCGGTGAGTGTGTGTTGCCTGCACCTGCCACTTTCTCGACAGCGACTTTGTTAGGTATCCGAGACAAGAACTCAAAATATTTATGAAGATGCTCGGCAAAGTTGGGCCGGCAGGCTAAGGGGGCAACATGAAAACTTGTGGAAACAATCTGCCCGGCGAGAGCTACCCCCTAAAGTGTCTGGCCGGGCATATTGGCTTCCCCGAAACTTGCCTTGCTTCGGTTCCTTTGGTCAGCAAATGAATGGTCGTGGTATTTAATACCAAAAAGAGGTCACCAAGTGGTCGTGTGTGGTGTAGATGCGTTTGTGGACCAACTTTTCGACACGAGTGTGTGTCTGTACACACACATATACATTGGTTTATGTATATATGCTGCACAGAATTTCGGAGCGGAGTGGGTGTGGCGCCACATGTGGCAGGCAGTGGCAATGGCAATTTGAAATTTATGCACAAGTTGCAGTTCAACTGACAAACAAGCACATAAATCAATTTATCGGCCCGTGCGGGGTGTCCACCTAGGCGTGTATATGTATATGCTAGTTGTTACAGTTGGCTGCCAAATATTAGGTTTAAAAAAAAATGGCTATTTAATTGGAGAATATATATGGTGCAGAAAGGTAATATTAATAATAAAAGGTAACATTAAAATTACTTATGTACTTTTAATAATAGTTGTCTTAATAATTAGCCATAGTTTTAATTATTTAATGTGACAACAACTCGACTTTCTTTTCCAACACCTTCTTTAACCCCTTCTACAGCTCCTTCTCCAACAGATTTTCCAGCATATTCTCCAACACTTTCCCCAACGCCTCCTCCAACTCTATATAATTACAATATTTTAGAAAATACAAGACGAAATTCTGGAAATACACACTCTCCAGTGCTATTATTTTGGCCACCATTGTCTGTGTATATGTGCACTAGCGCTTACAACTCCAGGGCACAATTATTGAGATTTGTTTCGGCCATACAACAACTTGGCCAAACTGCTCTTATTCGGTTATTGGCCACTAGGTGGCGGCGCCCACAATGCAAATGGAAATCGATAAAGTTTCCAGCCCCGAAACAGAGCCACAAACCACCCTTCAGTTCCATTCGTCAACGATTCCCCTACGATTCGCCATGGAACCGAAATAATTCCATGAGGATTCGCCATGGAACGTTCATACAACTCGGCTAGGAATTTCCATACAAAATGTGCTCCCAGCCTGTAATTCGAAATCGCCCAAGAATCCATCACGAATCGCACGGGAAGGTCCACGGGAATTTCGAAAGATAATCTTGCACGAATCGTCAAGGAATCGCTGGGGCGAATCGTCGACGAATCGCGCGTGAATCACAGGGGGAATCGTGGACGAATCTTGCGGGATTCGCTAGCGGAATCCGCCAGGAATCCCAGATGAAAATCTATAGAAAATTCCTGAAAAATCCCCCCCCTTCCTAGTAAAAATCCGATGAATTTATTCCTTATTTATTTATGGATTGCATTTTTATACCCTTGCAGGGTATTATAATTTCAGTCAGAAGTTTGCAACGCAGTGAAGGAGACGTTTCCGACCCTATAAAGTATATATATTCTTGATCAGCATCAACAGCCGAGTCGATCTAGCCATGTCCGTCTGTCCGTCTGTCCGTCTGTCCGTCCGTCTGTCCGTCTGTCCGTCCGTCCGTCTGTCCGTTTCTACGCAAACTAGTCCCTCAGTTTTAAAGCTATCTGAATGAAACTTTGCATATAGTCTTCTATATACTCTCACTGCTATATATGTCGGAACGGGCCGGATCGGACGACTATATCATATAGCTCCCATACAAATGTTCGATAAATTTTTAGAAAAAAAATTATAACTTTGCTGTTTTTCAACATTTTGGCACCATTTTTTAGATATGACCATTTTATATTATTTCTGAATTTTGGTAAAAATTTTATGAAAATCGGACGACTATATCATATAGCTGCCATAGGAACGATCGGGAAATTAATAGAAAAAAAATTATATATTCGTTGTTTTTCAACGTATTTTCATCTACTCCGGGATATAAGCTTATTTTATTATTCTAGAATTTTGGTATAAATTTCAAAAAAATCGGACAACTATATCATATAGCTGCCATATAAACCGATCGGTAGATGTATACAAAATGTAAAGCTGGGAATGCAAAACTGTAACTGTCAAACTGTAAACATAATAAGTATAGGTAAAATGTAATGAAATAATATCTGCAAGGGTATACAAACTTCGGCGTGCCGAAGTTAGCTTCCTTTCTTGTTTTATTTATCTTCACTTTTTTGGTAGCATTACATTTTTCTGCAAAATTAAACATGTATATATGCGTGTCACGAGTCTCCTTTGCCGGCTGCTGGGTCCTTTAAGAAACTTGTTTTATCTGTAAATTAAATACATAAGTACATACATATTTTTTAATCAAATTGTAAATTGCAGTACATACCAACTTAAACTGGATAAAAAAAACTTTGTAAATCCGTACTGAATCCCATTCACACCGTCTAAGTTGAAGTCGCATCCATTTTAATCGTCAATTCTGCAATTAAAATTAATAATTGAATGCAAATAAGTTCCACTTACCTTATAATATTTCATTTTTACGCAACTAATACGCAAAACACTTCTGAATGCAACAGCAGTCAACTCAAAATGCAAAGAGAATTAGAAGACAAAACCGAACACCGAAAATTCTCGCGCGTGTTAGGGTATAGCCGACAGGGCAATGCCTTGCAATTAGATTCACAAAGGGCAAATAATCGAACATGAACATTTCGGCCATGTCTAAAGCACATTTTCTTACGTGCTTATATCCCACACGATTTTATACGTAAAAATTAATTAAATATAATCTTAAATATTTTTAGATAACTCTACTTATTTTAAAAAGGTCATTCTCACGTCGGTGCAATACTCTTTGTTTTTGACACCAGTTTTCTTTCCTCCCTTCCTTCCATCTCCATCTCTCTCTAATTTACGAATTCTCGCAACCGCTACTCCGAACGTAGATCGAAAACAATAACAAATATGAAGAACGAACTTCGTGAAGCCCTCGGCAGTAGCCGAGCGTAGGTAGAATTTGTTTCGGCTATTTTGTTTCGAACTTCGCTGAACGAGGCCCATGTAATTTGTTTTTGTTTTTCGAACATACCGCGAGGAATTGGACGGGCGAGGAATTTTGGAACTGCAGGGCATATATACACGTACAGATATACATATATATATATATATATATACCCTTCAGTTCCATTCGTCAACGATTCCCCTACGATTCGCCATGGAACCGAAATAATTCCATGAGGATTCGCCATGGAACGTTCATACAACTCGGCTAGGAATTTCCATACAACGGGTGGTCCCAGCCTGTAATTCGAAATTCGCCCAAGAATCCATCACGAATCGCACGGGAAGGTCCACGGGAATTTCGAACTCGAATCCTCCAGGAATCGTCGAGGAATCCCGCGGTAATGGCTGGCGGGAATCGTCGAGGAATCCCGAGAAAATCGTTGCGGAATCCCGCGGGATTCGCTAGCGGAATCCGCCAGGAATCCCAGATGAAAATCTATAGAAAATTCCTGAAAAATCCCCCCTTCCTAGTAAAAATCCGATGTAATTTATTCCTTATTTATTTATGGATTGCATTTTTTTATTTATCTTCACTTTTTTGGTAGCATTACATTTTTCTGCAAAATTAAACATGTACATATATGTATGTACATAAGTGCGTGTCACGAGTCTCCTTTGCCGGCTGCTGGGTCCTTTAAGAAACTTGTTTTATCTGTAAATTAAATACATAAGTACATACATATTTATACCCTTGCAGGGTATTATAATTTCAGTCAGAAGTTTGCAACGCAGTGAAGGAGACGTTTCCGACCCTATAAAGTATATATATTCTTGATCAGCATCAACAGCCGAGTCGATCTAGCCATGTCCGTCTGTCCGTCTGTCCGTCCGTCTGTCCGTCTGTCCGTCTGTCCGTCCGTCTGTCCGTTTCTACGCAAACTAGTCCCTCAGTTTTAAAGCTATCTGAATGAAACTTTGCATATAGTCTTCTATATACTCTCACTGCTATATATGTCGGAACGGGCCGGATCGGACGACTATATCATATAGCTGCCATACAAATGTTCAATAAATTTTTAGAAAAATAATTTTAACTTGGCTGTTTTTCAATATTATTCCATCATTTTTGAGATATAGCCTTTTTATATTATTCCAGAATTTTGGTGAAAATTTTATGAAAATCGGACCACTATATCTTATAGCTGCCATAGGAACGATCGGGAAATTAATCAAAAAAATTATAACTTCGTTGTTTTTCAACGTATTTTAATCTACTTTGACACATGAGCTTCTGGTATTATTTCAAAATTTTGGTAAAAATTTTATGACAATCGGACGACTATATCTTATAGCTGCCATAGGAACGATAGGGAAAGTAATAGAAAAAATTATAACTTCGTTGTTTTTCAATGTATTTTCATCTACTCTGAGATATGAGCTTTACTTATTATTATAGAATTTTGGTATACATTTTATGAAAGTCGGACAACTATATCATATAGCAGCCATAGAAGCGATCAGATGTAGAGAAAATGTAAAGCTGGGAATGTA